AATCGAATCCCATGGTCCCTCCGTCGGTGAGGAGCGCATGAGACCTGGCTGCTTCCGGTTGTCGTATCGGACACGCTGACATAAGTGGCAAGATCGGATGTAGTCCGCCACGCTCTTCTTCATCTTCGGGAAGTATGCTCGCGATGAAACGCGTGCCAGCGTCTTGTCGATCCCTAAGTGACCACTGGTGGGGGCGTCGTGGAGCTCCTTCAGCACCAGCGGAACAAGAGATTGCGGAATGACGGGAACCACGGCGTCCTCTTTCACCTTGTAAAGGATATTGTTGATGGTGGTGAAAGTGGGCCCCGTGCAAATTTTGTCCATCTCCTCCTTGGAGCGCGTTTGGTGGTCCAGGATGGTCTGGCGGTCCAATTGACAGGCCAGTTATAGATGGAGAGCCTGATGAGGTGGGAACATGTATTCCTCGTCCTCGTCTAAAAATGTGTCATCAGGAGTGGGATTTCTAGAAAGAAAATCTGCAACAACATTGTTACGACCCATAATATGCTGTATAAAGGGCGACCACTCTTGGATCTTCCATGCCCATCGCATAAGGCGTGAATTGGTGTTTTTCATGGTTTGTAGGTAAGTTAGAGAGCCTTGGTCCGTTTGCAATATAAATTCTGAACTTTTCCAGCGCAAAAACGATAGCATAACACTCCTGTTCGGGAGTGGAGTAATTTTGCTGGGCGTGAGAAAGTGATTTGCTCGCGAAACAAATGACTTTCTCCTCACCGTCATCATTAATTTGCGAAAGAGTCGCACCAACGCCAACTTTTGCAGCGTCAGTTCTGACAATAAATGGCTTGTCAAAGATGGGATGAGCGAGAACTAAGTCCTCGATCATCGCATCTTTCATGTTTTGAAAGGCTTTGGCGGCTTTGGGGGACCAAGAAAAGCGTCGTTTTGGGGACGTGAGCGCATAAAGCGGCTCTGCAAGGTCCGCAAAACGGCGAACAAAATTATGATACCAACCTACCATGCCCAAAAATGCTCTGAGCTCTTTGCGAGTTTTGGGTTCTGCAAAATCACGAATGGCTTGCACCTTTTCCGGATCCATAGAAATACCCGTCTCAGAAACAATGTGACCCAAAAATTTGACGGTTTTCCTCCCAAATTGACATTTTGAGCCTTTGAGAGTCAAATTAACACGTCGATAACGCTCCAGAACCTGGCGCAAATGTGACATATGGTCACGAAAGGTCTGTGAAAAAAATCAGGACATCATCCTGGTAAATAAGGGTGAAAGTTTCCAACCCCTTCAAAACGTCCTGCATCATGCGCTGGTATGTCGCAGCAGCATTCCGGAGGCCAAAACACATCACGTTATATTCGAACAGCCCCCTGTCCGTACAAAATGCCGTGTATTTTCGGGATTTGTCGTCGAGAGGAATTTGCCAATAGCCCTTCTCCGCCTCCATGGTACTAATAAATTTAGCATTTGCCAATTTTCGGAGGAGATCTTGGACTTTTGGTATCGGAAAACTGTCCGGAGTGGTGATGGAATTAATGTGGCGCATGTCAACAATGAAGCGCCAAGATTTGTCCGTTTTCTCACGAATGATACACGGACTAGCATACTCAGAGTCAGAAGGAGAAGCGAGTTTCTTCTCAAGGAGAAAATCAACCGCTTTGTTGATCTCTTCTTTAATAATTCAATAATTCAATAATTCAACGTTCTTCAATAATTTTTATTGTATGCTGGTAACCCTTAATCTTACCCAAAGGAGCATCAATCACGTCCGGAAACTCTTTCAATAATTTGCATACTTCGTCAGATTCGAAATCTTGCAGTAATTGCAAATTATTGCAGGAAGCATTGAAAGGAACTGAATTTGTGAGAGGAAAAACACATTTTGGCCAAAGGTCAGTGAATCCCCACAATAAATCTTTCATGTCAATCATGAGTCCGGCACCGTGGAGAAAGTCCATACCCAGAAGTAAAGATTGATGTAGAGGAACCACCGCAAATTCATGGTGGAAATCACGACCCCCGATGGTAACTTTTAAAGTTAATGAACCAAGAGGAGAAGTTTCAGAACCGTCCAGCATCACAATAGGACCATAAACCCATGGATTTGGAGTCACATGGGGCAAAATGAGATTTGAAGAAATGATGGAAATTGTGGACCCCGTATCCACAAGTGAAAGGTAAGTACCTGAAGAAAGAGTAACGGGGATTTGGGGAATGAGTCGGTCAGGATTGGAGATGAGTGGATGAGTGACGACTAATCCTCGGATCGTCACTTCTCCGAGTTTCCCGACTTTGGAGGCACGACTTGAGCAACTTTTCCTTGTTGCTTTGGTGGAGGATGCAATTTGTAGCAGTGTGCATCGTCATGGTTGGACTTGCCGGGACATTGTGAACAAATGCGAACAACTTTCTTCCCTTCAGCAGCTTTGCCCTTATTTTCACTCGAGGGTGGAGAAGGATGCTTGCTGTAGTTGGGTTTGGAGGTGGAGGCAGGTGGAGAAGAAGAATGAGAAGTCGTTGCATGGTTGGATGAATACGACTTGACTTTCTCCGATTCAAAAAGTTTCCCAAAATTGACCATTTCTACCAAATTTGCAGAACGGCAGGAAAGAAGATGTGATTTCAGATGAGGAAGGGCCCGTTCAGCAATAAACTGAAGAATCGGAAGAACATCCGCATCAGGAGAAAGTTCAAAAATTTTCCGATAGGCCATGTTCATTTCAAATGCAAAAGTGGAGAACGACTCACCAACCCGTTGTCTACGATTGAGAAGACGCTCCAATGATTGATGCTTAGTCATGGTGGAACCATACATAAGCATGAATGCATTCCGAAAATCAGACCAATTTGAGACTGATAATTTAGTGGACTGCCACCACAAGTTTTGATCCTTATCCTGATTGAAGATGGACGGAAGCATCAAAACCCAATCATCCGACATGACCCGTTTCCGTTTCATGTAGAGTTCCAACTCTCGCATGAAATTCTCAGGGGAATCAAGAGCAGCGACGAATTTAGGAACCGGCAAATTACCACCAGAATGGAAGACGACTGTGTTCCCATGTGTAGAAGTTTCTGGCTGGTATGGATGAGAGGAGTCAGACGAGAAAGTTTCATCCAAAACCTTCGGTGGTTCGGGATGAATGATGAGAGGAGGCATCACAGTGGTGGACAGTTGAGAAGAAACCAAAATTTTAGGAATGGATGCACTTTGAACCGTGACTGCAGAAGAAGATGCATGATTTGCAGGAGGAACAAGAGAAGAAGGGGCAGATTGAGAAATTTTGATTTTCTCTAATTCTGCTTTTAATTCCCTAATTTGTGATTGCAGAGAAGTTTCCATACGATCAAAAGATGTAGACCAATATTCCACTGCCGTGTCTAATTCCGTTTTGGGTGCAAAATGTTCGAGTTGACCGCGTACATAATTTGGAAGTTCATGCAATGATGAGTTTATGTAATCGCGTGCATAAGTACAAAGACCATACTGAATTTCATCCCTATTAAAACTCTCTATTTCTTGAAGCCGAGTGGATAATCCCTCAATCTCACGATGCCCCCTAACTAAATTGTCATGGACCTCATGTTCTAAATCAGAAAGTTTAGGTGCGAGATGCAGAATTTGTGCAAAATTAGTTCCAACACAATCGTGATTTTTATCTACTTTGGCATGCAATTCCAGCAAAAGTCTAGCAGTGTCAGATGAAATGTACTCTACCTCAAAATTTAAACTTTCCAAGTTCTCATCGACATGCTGATTAAAGTCTGTCAAAATTGTTGCAATTTCACCCAGTCGGCTAATCTTTCTTAAAATTTTGGAAATGACTGGGTGAGTATGAAGACGACTAAAAATGAATGAAACAAAAATGTGGATACAGTACCCGATTACACTCATGATGAGGGAGAAGACCAGAATCCACAAGAATGCAGATAAGGCGCTGTGCCACATGACGGCCTCTTCGGTGGGAGTGGTCGTCGTGGTGTTGAGCACGTTGGAACCCTTCATGGCGGCGGTGGGAGGCGGTGTGGCGAAGAAGTCCACGAAATAGTTGGTAAAGACACCAACTCGATTCATCCTCTCGTTCCACTGCAGCAGGAAATTGTGGGTTGAGGAAGACGCCCACTTCTCGCGGCCTTCGGGGTAATGTGCACTTTTTCACAAATGCAAAGTTTTTCCCAAATTGTGGAAGAAATTGTCACTTTTTGCAGATTTGGCGAGTGGTGGTGGGCACTGGTGAGGTTGAAGGTTCGCCCCCACAGAAATAATGTCACTGGGGTGATGTGAGAAGTGCTCTCTCACAACCCCACACAAGTTTTCCACAAAAAAAAATTGCACGAATTCTCACCGTTTGGCAAGGAATCGTCGTCTTGTTTAAAGTTGGGTTGTGAGTTGACATGAAGGTAGCGGTGGAAATACTGGATGATTTCCAGGGATGAGAAGAGAAGAAGAGTTGCACTAGATCACTCCTCCCCCAAAAATTTCTGTCTTTTTCGCTGTCTTTTGCACTGTCTTTTTCACTCAAAAATAGCACTTTTGTCCTATAACTTGGTTTCGGCACCACTTGTGACCTGATGGTTCTACTCAAATTGTGGGTGTGCCGGAAATATGCTCATTTAGTTGTGGGAGAGCGGACATGAGGACTGAAACTCATAAATTTTTACAAAAATATTTATTGTATAGGTAAGTGCGAAGTGAATTTTGTACAGTGAATTGGAAGTAGAGACAGAAAAAGAATGCGACTTGAAGAGTCGGCTGGGAAAAATCAACTGAAGGTTGAAATGTATGAGTTGGAGGAGATCAACTCCTCCAGCCTAATTGATTAAATTAAAGTCTGGCTCCTGCACATCCTGTGCAGGATTACCTTATCTCTAAGTTTACCAAACTCCGTCCTATACCAATCCCATGTTGGACGGATTTTCTGGTGGCCACCAGAAGATCCGTCCAATTAAATATTCATAAATTAATATTTTTCCAAGGACACACCGTCACGGGGTCAAATGATCAGTTTGACTCCGTGGTGGTGTGTTACAATGCAAAGCTGAATAATCCAGCGGATGCAATAGTACCCAATTTAAAAAGGGAACTAGGAACCACTGAACTCAAGAGCGTAGCCTCATGATACTTGCAATACCTTGGAATGAAGATTTCGGTGCCAGAATCATCCCTTTCAAGTCGTCCGCAACTTGAAGAGCTGCAAATCATCCACTCATACTTATTATCAGTGACTTTCCTGTATATTTTCTTTTTCATTACAAAAGCTCCTTGCAGTGAGGCACCCTCCTCCAAGTCTTTAATTATACTATCTTTTTGTTTGGAAATGTCTGCCTGGGCTATCAAAATCTTTCCTGTAGTCTCAGCCAACGGAGTACCTAAAGTTAAACAAACCTTCCTAGTGTGATTCAAACTATACGTTTTTGTCGTGTCGTGTGGAGTAAGCAGCCTAAAGTTGGAGAACAAGCGATTAATTTCGGGGTACGTCTCCTCCCAACCTACAGTAGCCGCGGATGTACTTAGGCGCTCCTTTAAAAAGGCAACGCCAGCCGTTTTTTGTGCTAAAAATTTTACAGCCACGTTATCCACGCAGTACACCGTGCTCTCATTCAATGGGATATCCACTTCTTCTAGGTCGCGGGCCAGCATTGTTTTTAGAGACTCAATGGATACGGCCGGATCGAAGTCTGACGCTACCCCATGCGTGACGACAAACGCGATATTATTTATTGCATCCTGATGAAGATGAGAAAGTAACTGCATGATGCAGCTTTTAAAGAAAGGGGTGATTCTATTTTGATCGGATTTTAATAAGATGCAGATGCCATGGATGTAATTATAATGCTTGATGTGCTCCAGGATTCTAGCAAAATTAATTTTATCCTGTTCCACGCCTCTAGTGTCGCCATTTCCTAGAGTATCAAGGACACGAATTACGTTCGAATTCCAACCAAGAATATAGGTCCGAGGTTTCTGAGTAGCCGAGGTTCCTGGCTTATTGTCCTCGTTGGAGTCAGCTCCTAATTTGACGGTATTATTGGCAACTTTAAAGTTTACCGGGATTATTGGTTCGAATGGATTTTTCAGAGCTTCAGTTAGCGAGGGGTACGTGAAGTAAGTGGCGAGTCCGTTGATGAAGGTAGATTTGCCCACGCCGGTCTCTCCAAGGAGCAAGATATTCATGGCCGCTATTTTTGTCGATAATGGTCCGGCTGCACGGAAAGCAAAACAGTTTGCTATTTTAATTTTTGTATTTAGAATTTGTGGTTCTTTCGTAATTTTTAAAAGATGAAAATTTAATCATTACATATGTTTTTCTAAATATGTATAAAGGATTGTAGTCCTTAATTTATTTTTACTTTATCCAGCTAAAACGAACAAATAATGAATAAACGATTTTTCAAACGTTTAGATTAAATGAATTTTGAGTGAATACAATTTTTTCACAGGTATTCAATTGTTTACTTATAATCAGCCTTGAGTAATTTATAAATTTCATTCAGCACTAGATATACGCGGATACATTATAGCTTACTTTTCCTAAAATAAGGTATGTAGAATATACACTCGGTTAGTATTGCGGATTGGGATCTCAATTTACGAGCTGATGGGCTTTAAGTTCCCCTGTTTGCCTGGAATGGATAAAATACTGCGATTAACGGAGGTTGGACTTCAACTGGAGAAAATAACTGTGGACCAACTCTTTTTATGTATATTGTGTGGAAAACCCAGGAGTTTGGAGGTGAGATAAGAAACGTTGAATTTTATTAACTGAGTTAATCTATTCTTGCGAAATAATATGTGGAGTTTTCCGCCTATTCTCATATGATGTACATACAAGTTTGTTTTATAACACACATAGCTTAAGCTATATTGAGCATAATTAAACAGCAACCAACGCACATAAAGAAGTAGCTTCGGTGAGTTACTTCTATTTCCCAATAAACATTTAATTTCACTAAAAATCTCATTTCACCCCAAACATCGATTTTATTTGTTTCATTTTAATCCGCCACATCCACGATAAAGTCTAATCACTTTATTTCTTTATATAGTTTCAGTCTGTAGTTTTAGTTTCAATGACAATCCCATCTCACCCCAGCTATCGATTATTTTGTATAATTTTACCCCGACCACACGGTGTGGTCCACACCCATGACAGAGCAAGAACAATGAATTTCTATTTGTTGCTTCTGTATCTTCAATTTCAGTAAAAATCTCATTTTGCCCCGGCCACAACCGCTACCTCCGGAGGGGTGGCCCCATCTTCGAACTCATTCGTCCCTCAAAAATTAGATCCCGATAACAGATATCGAAAATATTAACCCATTCTAAAGTTATCCTGCTGACAGACAGATGGACAGAAAAAGCCTTCGCATAAAGTAGTTGAAGCTACTTAATTATTGCTGATGATTTGTGCCGAAAATCAGCTATCACGGCCAGTGGCCGTGGAAGCGTGAGGACAGAGGAACAATGGTCCCAGGGGTTTTCAATATTCCAATCATCTACCCATCTGTATGTTGAAATCGGCTCCTTTCCTTTCCTACAATGTTAATGTCCCCGAGTGTCCCATGACCTCCGCGGGAACTTGTCACAGTAAAGCGTTTGTTTATCAGTAAAACTCAAGTACTCGCGTGATTTTTATCCATCAGAAGGAGAAACTATGCACCGTGCAGTCCTAGATATTGGTGCCATCTCGATGAATCACTGCGGGCGAATGTACTGAACTCCTAAAGGGGTTTTCTTCCGTGCCCCCATTTACATCAGCCACACCCCTCAAACAGCCCATGAAACATAGAATATCATTCTGATATCTTCCACATGTCATTTTAAGACGTCGACTGATATCTAGTTAAGGATATCACATTGATGTCCATAGGATATCTATAGCAGACATGTGTGACGTCATGATATCCTAAATGTGTCACTTAACTGACTTGCTGATGATATCATTAAAAAGACAAACTAATGATATCAGAATCACATCTTCAGCTGATATCAGATTTATGACGTGTTTCTGACATCAAAACAACCCAACTTTGTAATCGGGTGCGGGGTATTGCACCATTCCAATTAATTTTTCTGTAGTAGATAATATTCTATATTTCCAGTCTCATTAATAATGCGAAAAACCGTTGTAGGAAAGAGACGTATATTACAACGTGCTAAACAAGAATTTAAAAAAGTATCCATTAATACATTTCGCCAACCGCCACCCCCCACTTTAATACAACCCGCCATAGTTTTAGAATATCATGGAGGTCAGGAAACATATAATATTTCTGGTTCAAGTGCTTCTGAAAGTTTCGACGACATTACTCCTGAATTTAGTAGTGATGATAGTGATCAAGCGGAAGTAATTCAACCACCCCCAGATGCGAGTGCTACATCAATTTTGGAGAATTTGAAATCGTGGGCATTCGAACACTCTGTGAATCACACTCAACTAACAGCGCTTTTGAAAATTTTAAAGGTTCACGATTGTTTTTCTATATTCCCAGCTGATAGCAGAACACTTATTAAACAATTAGATATTTGTGTACCTACCGAAATAGTTCCACCGGGTGAATATGTGCATTTTGGGTTAACTCCTTATGTCAGACAAATACTTCAACTTCGCCCAAATTTAACCAGTTTACAACTACAAGTAAATATTGATGGACTCCAAATTTATAAAAGTTGCCAATTAGCATTTTGGCCAATTCTAGGATATTTTTGTGGATTAGAATGTAAGCCATCTGTAATCGGAGCGTACTGTGGTAGCAAGAAACCTGAAAGTGTTGACAATTACCTTCAAAAGTTTATTCGTGAGCTAATTGAACTGATTCATACAAGTTGTAAATTAGAAGTACAGTGTTTTGTGTGCGATGCTGATTTTGTCTGACGAAGGAAAACATTCTCTTTCGAGTAGTAAATATATTACAAATAGTTAGCAGTGAAGTGATTATTTTAATTGGCTACAAATATCAAAACCTTCGATCGCTTTTTACTGAACCGTGCTCGTCAAAACTTATTCAGATTTTTGTTGCTGGTGAACCAGACTACGAACTCAGCAAAATTTCCACAACGGATATTTTGTACAAGTGCCAGGTGTTTCCCACTTCCGGTGGATCGGCCGTTTTCCCATTGATTCATCAATTTTGAAGGGTAGATATGTACATGTTTGAATGTACATATGTACACATGTTTGAATGTTTTAATTTACTTAATTATTTTTATTCTGTCTCGTCTTTAGTTACCCAGAATGTTCTATATTGTGGAGATGACGGATGCCGGAACTGCCTGGGTGGCGATTGTACCAAGGTCTTACTTCCATGAAGGGAAGTCGGCTTGGCCAAAAGGAAAAGATGCAGCCACAATTGTCAAGTCACGGAAGCCTCCTAAACAAACTTATCCAAGATATGATGCAAGAATCCTGCATGCTTATGGTTGGTTTCATTTACTAAAGACTGATTGGATAGGCTGATTTATTTTTATTTATTTATTTAATTGGATTTCAATTTAGAAACTTATGATGAGGCTCGTAAAAAAATAGTTGCTGCTGAACAAACGTCGGATTTATCAGGCGCTGAAAATAATGACCTACCAAATAAGAGAGCGAGAATCCGACAACCACCAATGCCAGCTGGAAGTGACGGAGATAGTGACGATTCTCAGAACGAGAGAGTTGTTAAAAAAGGTGACATTAAATATAATTATATTTTTATTTACAATAGTCAACTTTTATAACCATTTATATTGCTGTAGCTAAAGTTGTTCGGCCAATTGGATCCTCAAATGTAAATTCAGCCGACATGTCCACTCTCCCTCCGATGCCATTACTAAATCTACCAGGTAATTAATAATTATTAATGGTTATTTAACTAATAAGCTTGGTCCCGTGATAACTTTTTATTTAGAAGCTGAACATATCGGTCCTGACGCCGATCTACCGGCAGGAGGACAAACGAGTTCTTTTGGAGATGGGGGTGGCACCTCGTCACTTTTAAATGAAGGTGCGAATATTTACAACTTTGTATTCAGAGGTATTTATGAGTTAATAAACAATTGTTTATTGCAGATACGCCACCAGCCATCAATACAGTTGTTCCTGCACCTTTGCGAGTGGACGTAGAATATAATCAAGTTTCCCATAATGCAATTGGAGGACTGGAGTGGACGATTTCTGACACGTCAACACCCATTTTCGTTACAAATATTCAGGCTGGTAATATTTAGGAATTTCTAAAATGTTCTAGTATTAATATTTTACCGATTTATTAATTATGCATTGATATTCACTACAGAACAATGGAATAAGTTGCTTCAAGATGTCTCCAACATCAAAATCACGTTAAATAACATCGATAAGAAGCTGGACAATATCCTAACCAAAGATTCTGCTCCAAAGGGCCCACCAATAATTAAGAATCCTTTTGAGAAATTGGATGAGTTTACTACCTTTGACGAGTCCTTACTTAATAATGATGAGTTGCAGTTAAAATTGGTAAGTTCATTTATATTTGTAAAATTAAATATATACATTTAATCTGAGTGTTTCTATTCCTTTGCAGAAATGCCATTTAGTACGTGGAGTAGGGGGTAAGGTTCCTGAAGTCGTCAGTGGAATGCTGAAAAAGTTATTTACCGATAAACTGGCCCTTGACATTAGTCTCAAAGGATACAAGGGAAATTACAATTTCTCAGCCACGGTTAGCTTCAAAGTGATGTCGGGTAAGTTGTTGAAGAATTAATCTATCTATCTAATCAAAATAAGTCATTCTACTCACTAATCGATTACACTTATTAATTTGTTAATAGATTCAGCGATGGATAAAATTCCTGACGTGACCGAGAAGGAAATTTCTAAAGCTATGATTTCGTGGTTCCAGCACGCCAGTGATCGACTCAAAACAAAAAAGAATAGTTCAGCGTAAATTTGTTTACTAATGTTGTTGATTTTGTTTATTGTAATTATTAATTAGTTAATAATTAATTGATATTTAAAAGCTGAATAAAAGGTATGTGATAAAAGCTATTACATAATTAGATATCATTACGACATCAATATGACATCATTAACTGATATCAATGAGATATATCAAGGATATCCAATGGAGCTCGAATCCGTGTCATTAAATGACATCGCTACGATGTCTACAAGAGCATCCAGGCGATATCAAAAGTCGCGAAATAGCGATCCGCAGAGGACATACACTGACATGTTACGGACATGAATTGATATCCTCAGGATATACAGAGGTCATCATTTTTTTATCATTATGATATCAGCAAGATATAAAATTGTTCCATGGGAGGCGCCCAAAGCTGGACTTGTGTGACTATTTAGATTTTAAAAGCGTCACCAAAAATCTAATATTGTTCGGATTTTGGTATTGTTTGTACATTTATGATTTGCATGTCTGGCACCAATCTCCACTTGTCGGAAATTTTCGATATTTTCTAACATTCCCTGTGCAAAGTTTGACTTGAAAAAAATCCTAAGTTAATGTCGGATATGATAAAGCCGGATATTTCTGTACAGAGTGTGCAAAAAGGCGCCTTTTTCAGAAAAAATTCACGCCTTCTTGCCTTTTTGCCGTTTTCAATGCCTAATAGCCTGTTATACCCAGTTCAATATAAACTTTAGTTTATATGCATATTTTGCGACGTAGTCACAAGAAAATTGCAGTACAATTGTAATTAATGGTTCTAATTCAGTTTTTTGCAAGTTTTAAATGTATCATATTATTTTTCACTGGTCATAGTAATGGATTAAAAATCCAGTAATTAGTTTGAATCTTTGTTAAATATTTATATTCATGACAAGATGTTTACATGGACGCCCTGATTATTATGAACTTACTGGCTGCGGTTTAGTCGTATATTTGTGCACAACATAAGGCTCAATTATGCATGATTTTGTTACACACAAGTGGGTCTTCCTTATACGCATAGGCCATGAATTTATAGATTTAAAATTTGACTGATAATAATCGGAAACTGATTTACTTGTGGACAGAAATAAATTTAGTGAATTGTGCAGCCGTAAATACAACTTTTAACTATAACGTGAATGTATTTATCGTATTGCCCCGAAAAAGGCAAAACGGCAAAAAAGGCAATCGGGCATGCCTAAAATTCACGTGCCTAATAGGCAAAAAGGCAAAACGGCACGGGCATACCTTTTTGCCTTGGCACACTCTGTTTCTGTACTGTTTAAACCAACTTTATTAGATAACATCTCAGATTTACCCGTTTGTTTTTTTTAACAAACAGAAGTACCACATATGTACGTACCAAAAAGGGCAACATAATCTGGGTTTGGATGGTGCATAGTCTCTCCATGGGTTTTTATGTTTATTTGACCAGTACAATTAGTCATTTTGTTAACATGCAGCAAACCAATGTTCAGCCTCAATGGAATTAATGTTACTTGATAGTTGACGGTCGGTCGGCAACATGAAATCCATTGAAGCTTAACCTTCTGAGCGTGTTTTTTCACCCCGTTCCAAGCCTGTTTTTGATGAAATTCGTACACATTTTATTTCATAGCCAAATGAATTTAAAATGCGTTGAATCGTATACATCTAAACGTGTGCTTTGGTAGCACGATTGGGTTATTTTTTAAATGTGCATAAAATAAGAGCAATATTTTCCTCCTATGCGTTATCCAATTATGACAATATGTTTGAATTTTGTAAACCACGGGAGTGCGCATGCGTATGTTAAAAATTTGTACTTCGTAATTCACTTATTTGCGTCCATGTGGACAGTAAAAGTGAGATTTCTTTAATTAATACACTCTAAATAAAATCGTGATAAAATTTTCACCATTTTTATTACCGTCGCATAGTTAACGAACAAAAATTAGTTGTTTGTAAATATATCTGTTTAACAAAGTAAAAGTCACAAATTTTGCTTCAGGGCCGTATTGAGACATCTGCATTACAAAATTTTAGACCCGAGGCAAAAGTAAGATCAGGCGAATTAAGACACTTTTACAGGATGATTTACGATAATGCTAGGGTCCATTAAGTTCACCCTATGAAAGTGCTATTTACAGTTTTATCTTCTGATTTTTATAAAATTTCAAGATGTCATAGAAACTAGGCAAATTTAAGATCATCAATATTTTAATTTCCAAAACTGAATAAAAGTTTGCGAAAATGTAGGAATTGAGAGTCGATACAAAATTCTGGATAAAATTGCAATCGTTAATACATAGGTAATACGAATCAGAGGGATTTTGTGAGTTAGGTTAGGAAATTATAACCCATCGAAATGTTCATTACCTTTTTAAGAGGTAGTTTGCCAGTCAAATCTAGCGGAAAAGAAGGCTTAGAGGGGACTTCGTAATCACTAAGAGGGTAAACTTTAAGTATTGGTTTACGATGTATGGCTTACATAATTATTAAGCAAAAATTTCAAATCTATTGAGTAGCCCAGAGTCACCCGGATTTATTGAGTGTTGAATAATTTGCTACTTTCAGAATGTGGCATACAACCGTTCAAAGTGACTACATGTCTAACAAGGGACACTATTGACGTGGGTGGAGCGTCCAGGGTACCCACTATGTTCTTTAGTGTCTACTAGGACCCGAGCTGAAGCATCCATTCGTATTTCCGTGTGAAACTCATACTTGGCGCCGTGGCGTGGCGCCAAACTTAAAAATTTGCATTTTCGACCAATTTCAAACCTCAATAACTTTTGAAATTTCCATGGGATTTTCAAAATTTTGGGCTTAAAATGATCACAAAGGTAAAAATTTTAAGAAAAATTAAAAAATTAACAATTTTTATTTTTCGAGATATTTAGAAGATTTTGTCGACGAATCACATGCCTCAAAATTTTTGAAAAAATGAAACAATTAATTTTTTGAAAAATTTCATAGCATTCGAAAGTCCGACTAATTGTCATGATCTTGGCCAAAAATTTTGAAGATCCCTTCAGGATTTCAAAAGTTATGGCGGTTTTAAAATTAAAAACATTCAAATTTGGCGAATGTGTCGCCACGCCACGGCGCCAAATATGAGTTTTACATGGAAATACGAATGGATCCTTCATCTTGGGTCCTAGTAGATTCTAAAAAACATAGTGGGTACTGGACGCTCCACCCATGTTAATAGTGTCCCTCGTAAGGTGTTTATGTACTCGGTGCTAATTAACTACTTGCGAAAGCATTTCAACAATAGAGCGAGATTCCCATGAAGAAGATGGACAGACCGAATGCCAAGCTGTACTTCTCCTTTCCCATGTATTGATAAACAACGACGGAGCGGAGGGAGGCCAGCACGCCTGCGCAGTTTAAATAAATAGTAATAATTTTGGAGAACATTTATTTTAGAACAATATCTTCGGACTAATTCTAAAACAAACTAAGTGCACAATATAAAAAAGCTCTAGTTTATGGTGCACTTACGTCGTTTTCGAATTAAAGAATCGACCGCACTTAGGTTGATTTCGAAATAAGAATCGAATCATCATTCATCGCAACTAAACGCATAGTGGTAGCGTGTGCAGAGTTCCAGCCAGCCTGGAAATTTCTGTGGTCCATACTTTTCTACGGTATTAAATAATAGATTTGATGTCCAAATGCTAATTGTGCTGGACGCCGGACGACTTTTGAATACATTTAGGACAAAATCGTCAATTCTTAAAGAGTTTTCTATTTCATGATAAACCTTGGTAAATATGACCATGGCGGGTGAGTGGGAATCGGAAAGGAAGGTAAAGTATTCTGAGGACATGACATCTCTCAAAATTTGAATATCTCAATTGCCAACACCTTTAAGAAAATTTTTTGGGACATAAATGTCATAATTGCTATTGATTTTTGCACAAGTGGGCATCCTTTGGGAAAAAATAGTTAAAACTGACACGACGGAATGAATCCCCGACATACTAATTTGACTCAAATAATATAATATTTTCGTAATAAATAATCGTGTGGGTCAGATTTCGATCTAAGCAGAAACCTAACATATTGGCATGCATTTAATAGTTACGAAATTAAATACATGGACAAATGTACTCTTTGCTGTTTCCATTCCATTATTTATTTATCCCTTGCGTGTTCGTGTTCAAGGCAATGCTTAACTTCCCCGCTGAATATGCAAGTAGATGCAGTGTCGTAGCCAACGAATTGCACCCGGCCGGAGTAATTTTTACAGATGGCCCTACAATGCGACGAGATTTGAGTTTCTTGAAATCCATTGTAGTGATTACGGAAGCCGATCCAAATTTGAATTATGAATTATACAACGGAAATGAATAATTTATGTCAATTTTGTAAACGCTGACGTGAAAAGTAGAAGAGTACTGTAGTCTTGAATGGAATGATCGGATGTCATTTTTAAATAAATTGTTTTTTATTTCCCAAGGTTTAAGAATCTAACTGGTTCGTTCTTAACGGGATAATATCCATGTGCATGTTTATGTTAAACATTCTACAACTGTGAAATTTATTTTACGTATTTGAGTTGGATTCTTTTTGAGGTGTTGTAATAGTTATCATTTTCTGTTGTTAATAAATAGTAAATAATCTTATAGAAGTTGCAGTCATATAATATGACTCATATTACTGATAATCCATAATGCATTTGCAATAAATTGTTTAGAAAAATAATTGCCAATAAAAACGATATCGAATTTATCTTGATAACAAGAGAAATTTATTGAGCCCGTAAGTAATTCGTAATTTTTTTCGTGAAACCCGAGTTTTTTTAGAACCCTAGAAAATTGAGTAAACCTCACTCAAAACAAAAAATCATACCCAAATCAATTCCGGGCGGTGTCACTATGGTGTCACAATAATCCACCGATGTAATTATGTAACTTTGTTGACAATATTATTTCCATCCTCGTTATGATCATTATCACTGGAGGACGGTTATGATTTTTTTAGGTTTTTAAACCGCTTTGCTAAAAGTGTAGACACG